ACATTTTTTTTATTTTTTTTATTTATAATTAATTTAGGTTTCAATTATTATCAAACAGTTTTCTATCATAATATTAATAGTTTAATATTATTGTACATATATAGTTTTAAAAATGATGATGACATTAGCTGATCAAGAGACAGAGGTTATTAAAGATTCATGTAAAGTAGAAAAACCAATTAAATTAATAGAGTTATCACAAAAACCAAGAGTCTATAGAATTCCAGAGTTTCTAACAGAAGAAGAGTGCAACCATTTAATAGATACATCAAAGAATAAATTAAGACCATGTAATGAAATTTCAAGTGGTGTACATAGAAGTGGATGGGGTTTATTCATGAAAGAAGGTGAGGAAGAGCATCCAGTAACAAAAAATATTTTTAATAAAATGAAGAATTTTGTAAATATTTCAGATAGTTGTGAAGTAATGCAGATTATTAGGTAATTATTTAAAATTATAATGCTTAAAATTATTAAATTGGTTTACTAATAATTGTTTTCTATATAGATATAATCCAGGGGAGGAAACTTCTGCACATTATGATTATTTTAATCCATTAACTACCAATGGATCAATGAAAATAGGTCTATATGGTCAGCGTATTTGTACTATTTTAATGTATCTTTGCGACGTAGAGGAGGGCGGTGAAACTTCATTCCCAGAAGTTGGCATTAAAGTCAAACCAATTAGAGGCGATGCAGTATTATTTTATAATTGTAAACCTAACGGAGATGTAGATCCTCTCTCTCTTCATCAAGGTGATCCAGTTACCAAAGGTACAAAATGGGTGGCAATCAAATTAATTAACCAAAAGTCAAAAGAGGGTACACCAACTCAATAGTGGTTTAAAATTATAAATAGAAATAAAAAATTACAGTGTTTAAAATGTTTCTTTCTCTTTTTTTCATTGGTATATTGTTTTAAAAATTAAAATAGTAATGGTTTAAAATTATTATAGTTTTATATTTAATAAAGCAAAATTTAAAAATATAACATTTTATAAAAGGTTTTTTTTATTAAATAATTTTATATATAAATAGGTTTTATTTTATTTATTTTTAATGGTTATTTTGGATTGGTATTAATATTAATATTTGTATTATTATTAAAGGAGGGTGTTAAAACAAATGGGGTCGAGGAAATTTTTTGATTAGTTTTTGATTTTAAAGGAATTTTTAAAGTTGAGGAGAGCATGAATGATAAATCTGGTATTTTTGAAATAACATCATTTAAAGGACCATTTGAAACAGGTTTATCAATTCCAAGAAGTGATGAAGGGTCGCTAGTTCCTAAATTAAATGATGTTGGTGGTGGTGTTGGAATTGAGTCAACATCTAAACTTGTTCCTGCATTTGATTTTGATGTGGTTGCTGCAGTTGTTGCAGTTGTCGATAAAAGTGTTGAGGTTGCAGGTGATGATGTTGAAAGTGTTGTAGTAGTTGCAGATGATGGTGAAATGGTATTGCTTGATGATGGGGTTGGTGATGTTGGAAGATTTCCACCCGATAGGGATAATGATTTGGATGATACAATCATACCTACTGGTGAATAGGTTTGTGGTTTTAATGGTTGTGAAATTCTTTCATGTTCTAACTGTTTAATCTAAAAATTAAAATTATTAATATATGATCACATTTTGGAAATAATTAAAATAAATACTTACTAAAATTTTAATATCCTCAGAGAAATGGAAAGATTCTAAAGATTGCTTTTCAATTAGACTATCTCTTAGTATTATTGGTTGTGGTGGGGCTACAAACGCTGATTTGGTTTTGGTGTAAATTGATTTATCGATTGATGATTGGTTTAATAGTTGTTCAAAATCTTTAGCGTCTTCTTTTTCACTATCTACATCTTTCTTTTTTATTGTTATTGGATTAAATGATTTTTCGTTACTTAAAAAGTTTTCAATGTTTGCTCTAATGTGATTAATGTTATTCTTTTGCTGTGAAATTGCGATTGAATTAACTGATGGTTGTTTTGGTTTGGCTATATTTGAAGTTTCAGAATCAGTTCCTATTGGTGCTGCTGTAATTGGTGAATTACCAAAGTTATCAAAGTCGTCTGTTCCAGTTTCATCATCGAATTCACCAAAGTCATCTGCCGTGGTTGAGGTTGGGATTGGTGGAATTATATTTAATGTTGTTTGCTGTGCTGGTGGTTTTGGTGGTGGTGTTTGAATTGCTTCAGATTGATTGAAGCTACCAAAATCTCCAAATTCATCATCGTTTTGACCATCATTAAACTCACCAAAGTCACCAAAGTCTTCATCGTTTGAGGGTTTTGAGTTGTCATTAAAGTCATCAAAGCTATCAAAGTTGTTGGTTTCGGTTGGGGGTTTGACAGTTGTTTCTCCAAAGTCACCAAGGCTATCATCATTTTCGTTGGTTGTTGGCTTATTATTTTCTTCTTCAAAGGTACCAAAACTGTTATTGATTTCAATTGATGGATTTGTAGCTGGTGTTACTGTTGTTGCAGTTGCAGTTGCAGTTGCAGTTGTTTCACTAAAATCACCAAAATTATCTGTTTCAATTGTTGTTTCGTTAAATGAATCAAATTCATCATTGTTATTGATTTCTTTGGTAGTTGTTTCACCAAAATCGCCAAAATCATTGTCATCATTGTCATCATTTTCTATTGTTGGTACACCATATGTTTCTTTAAATTCACTGGAGTTATTATCATCGGCCTCGATTGGTGTTTTGATAGCTGTAGTTTCGGTAAAGTAGTCGAAATCTTGACTATCTTTATTAGTTGGGGGTGCTGGAGTTTCTTCAAAATCACCAAAACTATTATCATTATTATCTACATTAGTTGATGTATTGTTGTCGAAATTGCCAAAATCTTCAATAGCAGATTCATTTTTGGTTGGTGCCTCAATATTAAAGTCACCAAAGGTATGTTGATTTTCATTGACTTTAACAGTTTCTTCCAAATTACCCAAATCATCTTGTGTGGTGATGGTTGTTTCGTTAAAGTTGAAGTTATTAGAGGTTTCTTCTTTAGTTGTTTCGGATGATTCATTAAAATTGTTTGATTGTTCTGTAGGTTCTTTACTTTGTAACTGATCTTCTATTGATATTTTTGGTTCATTAAAATCATCGAAGTCGAAACTATTTGAGGTTTTTAATTCCTCTTTTGAGGTTTTTGGTTCACTAGAATAATCAAAATCGAAATTATTTGAATTTTCTTTATTCTCTTCTTTTTCTGGTTGTTCATCTTTTGTAGTATTTGTTGTTTCAACACTGAAGTCACCAAAGCTATCTTGGTTATCGCTAGTTTTGTCAGGATTTGCTGATGTTTCTTCAAAATTACCAAAATCTTCATCATTTGTTTTTGTAGTGGCAGTTGATTCATTAAAATTACCAAAGTCAAAGCTGTTTGGTGTTTGCTTGGTTTCTTCAGTTGTCGTTACTGGCTCACTGAAATCATCAAAATTAAAATTATTATTTGAAGTTTTTAATTCTTCTTTAGATTTTTCTGCTGATTGGTCATCTAAACTATTTTCGCTACCATTGTTGAAATCAAAACTTTCTTTATTTTCATCGATTTGTGGTTGGTTTTCTTCTTTTTCTTCTTTTTCTTTTTCTTCTTTTTCTTCTTTTTCCTCTTTTTCTTCTTTTTCTTTATCAAATAAAATTTCAGGCTCTTGTGTTGGTTTATCAGGATTTTCTGTTTTTAGGCTAAAATCTGAATTGCTTGATTTTTCAACAGTTGTAGTTGATTCTGTTAAAAATTCTTCATTTTTTTCGTTTCCAAAGTCATCAAAACTGTCAAAATTATTTGAAGATTGTTTAAATTCATCAAAATTGGGTTCATTATTACTAATATTACAATTATCATTATTACTATTAAAACTATTATTATTTATATTATTGTTTGAGGTGGATTTGAAATTTTCAAAATCGTTATTGTTATTACCAAAATCATCAAAACCATTATTGTTGCTTTGTTGTTGTGATGGTGGAGTTAATGCTATATTTTTGAAACTTTCTGTATTATCGTTATTTTCTTTTGTTGCATCAAAATTAAATTCTGGTTTTTGGTCATTATTGTCTGAAATTGGAACTGATTGAAAGTTATTATCTTCTTTTGAATCTGTTATATTATTACTACCAAAGTCACCAAAATCATTATTATTACTAATAAAGTTATTTTCTTCTTTTGAATCTGTTATATTACCACCAAAATCACCAAAATCTTCGTTATTTTTATCATTATTATTATTGTTAATATTATTATTATTACTGAAATCACCCCAATCATCATTGGAGTTATTGGTATTATTGTTGTTATTATCACCAAAGTCCCCAAAATCTTCGTTATTATTATCTATATTATTATCCAAATTATTATTACTATTACTAAAATCACCCCAGCTTTCTTTATTATTTTTATTATTATCATCATTATTAATAGTTTCGTTATTGAAATCTCCCCAACTATCATTATTATCTATATGGCCACTACTGGTTTTAAAATTATTAAATTCATCTTTGATATCTTTTTGTGAAAACTCATCAGGAATTGATTCCTTTTTAATTTCGGTAGTATTGCTTGCTGTAGTAATGAAGTCAGAGTTGTCAAAAAATGATGATGATGATTGACTATTGTTTGAGGTTGATGGCACCGCTGCTGTTGTTGAAAAATCACCAAAATCATCATTGTTGCTGCTGTTGTTGTTGTTGTCGTTGTTTGGTAATGATTGTACTGGAGTATTATTTGAGGAAAAACTAAAATCACCAAAGTCTAGGAAAGCATTATTACTATTGTTGTTATTATCGTTATTATTCGAAGGAGAGGAAGGAGGTGGAGAGTTTTTTGAGCTAAATGGATCTAAATCAAACAAATCATCATTTGTATTGGGGGGATTTGTATTATTATTATTACTATCATTAGCTGTACTCTTAATATCAAACTCATCTAGATTAAAGTCTAGAGAGTTATTAGTAGGAGTACTCATTATATATGTTGTTTTTACTGGTTAATATTTATTATTTTACTATTTATTATTTTATTATTTATTATACAATTTTATTAAATTTTTAGTAAAATTATAATAGATTATTATTAATATTGTTACTATTATTATTTTATTATTTGTTATTACTCTTGTTTATTATTATTATTTTTTATTTTACAACAAATTAAATATGATTTATTGCTTTTCTTCTAAATTGTATAAATTATTTTGTTTATATAAAAATTTCTATTTTTTTTTTTTAAGATTAGTTTACAAATCATTTACAAATTAAATTTGAAAATTTCTGTACTATTGAAAAAAAAAATAAAATTAAATAAATATATATGATATCAAAAAATATAAAAATTTTTTAAAAAAAATTAAAAAAAAAAAAAAAAAATTTAAAAATTTCAAAAAAATAAATAATTATTTTTTGTAATTAATATTTTTTAAAATGAAATAACTATTCATATTATTATTCATTTTATTCCTTGTAAGTAATTATCTTGTATAGATATACATATATCTCACTAATGGTCCTTAAATAAAAAAATATATATGTATGTTTGTATATCTCGTTTGAATTTAAAGCGAAACAATTAAAAAAAATATTATTTTTAAAAGAAAAAAAAAAAAAAAATAACCAAAATAAAAAAATAATAAAAAAAAAAAATTTTACTATAAATAGAAAACAATATAAATCTTAAAACTTTTTATTTTTTAAAAAAAAAAAAGTATTTTATTTTTATTTTTATTATTTCATTATTTATAAAATAAAATAATATAAATATAATTTTTTTTTTCTTAATTCTTTTTAAAAATAAATTGAATATATAAATATAATTTATATAAATATAGTTTTAATAAATGGATAATAATAGTGAAAAAATCAAAACCCCAATTAGAATGGCATCAGATAAGCCACCTAATGTTGATAACAGCATGTTGGGAAAAAAAGTAAAGAAAGTTAAAAAAGTTAAACCATTAGATAAAAAATATAAAGGTTTAAAGTGGAAGAAAACAATTAGAAAAATCATAAAAGAATATCCAGACCCATCCATTCAAGTATTGGATGTAAAGAAGATGGTCATTCAAACTCAACTTTCAAAAATCGAAAAGGATTTAAATATAATATTTAATGAAAAGGTAATTATAATTTTTAAAAACCAATAAAAAAGTGTGCCAATATCTAATAATTTTTTTTTTTATTATAGATTCAAAAACCAAATAAATACTACTGTATTGTTGGATCTGAAATTAAAAGATTGCAAGTAAATCCAATCAAATAGAATAAACAAACTAACAAATCATTCTTTTAAAAAAGATAAAGATAAAAATAAAAATAAAAAACAATAAAAAATAAAAGTGAGAAAAGAATTTTAATTTTATTTATTTTATTTGTCTTTGTAAATAGATTATTGAAAAATAAAGCTATAAATATTCGTTTTTAAAAAATGGGTTATTGAGTATTTGTTTTTTTTTTGTTTTTTTTTAATAACATGTTGGAGTCCAAGAACAACAATCTGAACAATTTTCATCAGATTCGAATGATTCATTTTTAATATATGTACATCTCAAAAATTCGGAATCACAGTTAAGATCTTCACAACGTAAACAGTGTAATGGTAAATCCTTTGGAGCTGGGTATGCAGGAGGATATGTTGGTGGTTCTGGGATTGGTGTACCAGTTGGTGTTGGGGTTGGTTCAATTGATGGTGTTGAAATTGGTAAATGAGATGGTGTATCACTTGGTGATACAGTAACATTACAAGTATATTCGTATACACATTCCCCATCCAAGCAAAATGAATCGATACATGGATCTGAATTCGAACTATAATAGATATTAAATATTTAAAAATAGAGTTAGATTTATATTTTAATATTTTAATTTTAATATTTTAATTATAAATAGTTACCAATTAATTGCTCTTGAAATACAATTGGTAGAATTGGTTGGATCACATTCCATTAATACACAAGCATCATTTGATATACAACCTGTAAGTGGACAATCTGAACAATTGGCAATAGGAGTATGTACGCAACCTCTGGCACCATCACAATAATCTTCGGTACAATGGTTTCCATCCCAACACTGAACTGGGAAATTAAGACAACCGAAACCAACATCACAACTATCAGAGGTACATGCATCGTTATCGTCGCTATAAAAAAAAAAAAAATTAGAAATAATCTTAAATTTTGATCATTTTTACACTTTTCTAATATTTACCAAGTAACTGCATTGTATTGGCATTCAAAGTTGGTTTCTTCACCACAAACTGGCTCTAAACAATGATTGATTAAATCACATCTATTGATGAAAATAAACATTAATAAAATTTATAATATCTAACATTTTATTTATAAAACAACTTACTGACGAACTTGACAACATGTATCGTTGTTACCTTGGCAAACACCACAAGCCTATATTAATAAATAACTATTAATATCCAGATTTAGAAAAATAAAAGAGTTTTTATCTGGAAATACAAACATCATAATAGAGACAGCTAAAGTTCAAATTGGTAATAATATTTAGATTAGATTCCCAGGTGTGTCTTTCGCAATAAAAGAAATCGAATGGATAAGTTTCTCCGACGGTTAGACCAAGGTCATCTACATAAACACTTCTTGATGCTGATGTATGTAAACCACCAATATCAATTCTTAAAACATTATTAAAGAATACCCAAACCTAAAAAAAACTAAAATTAATAAACCAATTAAAAAAACAAACTTTAAAAAACTTACGTCATCATCTCCAGCAAAAGTCTAAAATTTTATTTAAAAATTAGTATAAAATTTTTTAATCTTTAATGTAAAATATAGTCGTATACTTACAAAGTATTCTCCACCATGATATGTCTGAAAATAATAAAAATTGAAAAATATATTTTATATTTTATAAAAAATAATTAATAATTATAATTTATTAAAAAAAAAATAAATGTGACAAATATTTAAAAACTTACAAAACCATAATGAATTTTCATGCAAACTATTAAATAAAGGAAAGATGTTAGATTTGCATCATAGTATTAATTCTATAGTAAAATTATAATCTGAATATTTACAATGATAATTGTGGCCGTTATAAGTTGGTTCGCCTGGGAAAAGAGTTTGATTTGCGAAGCCCAATCCATCGATTGGGAAGAAAGAACTTGATTGATATCTATAGAGATCATCATCACCTTTAACCAAAGTTAAAGAGTATGGAATTGCATAACTAACACCGTCAATAAGATGAAACCAACTTGCAAATGTTGTGGAGTTATGCACTACAATTTGGTTACCAAAAGTAACTGGAGTATCACCACAGCAATAAACTGGGGTTTGATCTGAACCAAGATTTTGCAACTAAATAAAAAACAATTAGCTAATTTTTGTTTATGTAAATCTTATTCAATAAAAAAAAAATAACTTACAACTATATCCTGAACAACAGCATTTGGTGCATCTAAATAAAATAAATAAAAAATTAAAATTATAATTAATTTAATATTTTTAAAAAAAAATAGATAGTTTGTACGTACTTGGAATTTCAAAATCGGCTAATATAAAAATAAAAAATTTTAATTAGTTATATTTTTTTTTTAATATAGTTTAAAAATTCTTACGATTTCTTAAAGGACTTTGGTCATAAATGGTAGCTGACAATACTAAGGTATCCTGACATTCTTAAATTAAAAAAAAAATTTTAATTTTATTTTAAATGGGTAATTCATTTTAAAATTTTTAACACTTACTTATAAATCCAAAACTGCATAGTAAAAGTAAAAATAAAAGAGCTGACCTCATTTTTCTAAGATTAAATTTTTTTATTTTAGTAAAAATATTGCTTAAATACTATTATAATTTTAATGATAAATGATAAATAATAAATGATAAAAGATAAAAGATAACTATTAAACAATACAATATTTTATTAAAATTAAAAATAAAAAAATAAAAAATTAATTAAAAAAAAATTATTGAAATATTATTTGATTTAAATTAAAAAAAAAAAAAGTTTTTATATTAAAAAGTAAAAAGATTTATTGTTATTATTATTATTTGCTACGAATGATAGAGTGTGTGTATGTATGATATATGTGTGTTAGTGTAGATTCATTGGAGTAAATTACAAAGTGGTTAGTTGTAGTAGTTTTTTTGTGTGTTAAATTTTTTATTTATTTTTTAAAAAAAAAAAAAACAAGTGGGGGTAAAAACAAGTATTGAATGGCGGGGTTAGTACTCATTTATTAATTTCCCACCAAAATTTGTAATCTAACTTTTTATTTACTAAATTTTTTTTCCAACCACCAAGTACTTACGAAATTTAAATTTAACATTTTATTATATTAAAAAAAAAAAAAAGATTCTCAATGTAAAATAAAAGAAATATTATTAAAATTTAATTATTATATATAAAATGAGGTTTAAATAAAATATTCTTTATTTGATTTTAATGATATAGTCGAAAAAAAAAAATACAAGTTTTATTTTTTTTTATTAAAAAAAAATTAAAAAAAAAAAAATTTATAAAAGAATTTTGTTTTGATAAATTGGTGGTTGTGATGGGTGTGAGTTTTTGATTTTATATTTTTTTTTTAGAATAAATGATTTGATTAGATTATGTTTATAATACTTTAGACATATATGGTCCATCTAATTCATATCCAAGCTTTCTATAATAGTGACGTGTGCCAACACCAGCAATAACAGCTAACTTAACTGAGCCGTGTTCTTCACGAGCAATTCTTTCTGCTTCTTCCATTAATAATGTACCATAACCTTGATGTTGGAATTTGGTTGGATCACGATTATGAATACCTACAACACTACCATAAACATGGAGCTCTCTAACAATTGAAACGCTATCTTTTAATTCTGGTCTAAAGGTAGTTTCACTGCATTTTCTTAAACGAAGTAAACCAATTAAAATATCTTGTTTTGGATCTTCATAACTAAATAAATTAAAAAGTAAAATGTTAATACTATTATTATTTATTTTTTTATAATATTTATAAATAAATTTAATTACCTTAAAAATGTTTCCCAACCACCATTTGCAGTATAATCACGACGAATTAATTCTACTTGATCTGGTTTAATTTTATGATGAACCTCTTGAATACCTACTTCACGAGTTCTAACATCACGGCATTTGGTACCAAAATCTTTCATTCTTGCAAGACAAAGTTCACGTAAATTACCATACTCGACACCAGAAGTAACTAATGGCATTGGGATATCTCTTTGAATACGATAAATACGGGTCCATGGTGGTACAAGAGCTAAAATCTTTGCAATTAAATCTACTAAACTATCTGGTGAATAATTTTTGTATGTACCAGTTTTCCAAAGTTCATAAAGACCAGTACCACGAATAACCAAAGTTGGATAAATCTTTAAACCATCAGCTCTAAAAGCTGGATTCTCAAAGAATTCCATAAAACCATAAATATCTCTTTCCATACCCATATTTGGAAGATCTGGCATCATATGAGCAACAACTTTGAAACCACTATCTTTGGCCAATTGAAAAGATTCTAAAACTGCACGAACAGTGTGACCACGATTAGTGTCTCTGGCAATATCTTCGAAAACACTTTGTACACCAATTTCTAAACGAGTGCAACCGTAAACCAACATATTACTTAAATGAAGTTTTAAACAATGATCTGGACGAGTTTCGATTGTAATACCAATACATTTAACATTACTTTGTTCTGAATATTTTACTGCCTCTGCAACATTGTTTGATGTGTGACCTGAAAGTGCATCGTGAAGATTACGAATGAAATAATCTCTGTAATCTGCTGGTAATGACATAAATGTACCACCCATAATAATGAATTCGACTTTTTCAACATTGTGACCTAAACGTTTGAGTTGATCAATACGACTACGTGTTTGTAAATATGGATTATAACGTGCTCTAATAGCTCTCATTGAAGTTGGTTCATAACCTGTATATGATTGTGTTGAATATTCAAAATCTGAATCTGGTCCACCTGGGCCTAAAATTATTAAAATTATCATTATTATTTTTTGTTAATAAAACCATTAAATGCTGTATTTGTGAATATTAATATAAAAGATACTTACAATATACACAAATATTACCTGTCATTGCAAGATGTGGACAACGATGTGGTTTACACATAACAGCAACAACAGCAATACCAGATGCTGTTCTAACTGGTTTTGCTTTTAAAAGAGGTAATAATGTATTTTTGTATGATTCTGGAATTGCTGAAATAATATCGACTGATTTTGGTTGGTCAGATAATGAATTTTTTGCTGCTAATTCAGTTTTGATCTTTAATAAATTGATCTTTTTACCTTCTTTATATGCATTAATTAATGCATTTACAATTTCTGCTACAGTTTTGGTAAACTGTGGTGTATTTTTACCATCTTTTTTTTTTTATTTTTTTTTTTTTTAAAAGTTTTAAATAGAATTTAAATATAAATTAAATTTTTAAAGTTAATAAAATGCATTAAAAATAAATGATATAATAAATAATAAAATAAAAAACTTACAAACTGGTTTAGCACCTGATTTCTTTGAAAGAGGTCTGGTATCTGTCATTAATGACATTTTTTAAAGTATATAGTTTTTTTTTTTATTTTTCTTTCAAATAAAAAAAAATATAAAGAATTGAATTTGAAAAAAATTATTTAAAATATATTTATAATATTTATAAAAACAAGTATATTAATAGATTTATTTATTAAATATATCTTTTAAAACTAATTAATTAATATCAATTTTCTTTTGTTTTTAAAAAACGAAAATTAGAAAAAAAAAATAAAAATAAAAAAAAATTATAAAATAAAAAAAAAAATTTTATAAAAAAAAAAAAATATTTATTTTTTTAATTTTTTTATTTTTGTTAAAATTATAAAAAACATTTTATTATTT